GCTGTAAGGCCGGGGGAGGGAGAGAGGCCATCCCAGGCCACATCGCTGGGAAGTAGACACCAAAAATCAAGCCGCTGGCTGTCTGCAGGGCAGCTCCCCACCCCTTCTGGGGAGACCGGCATTGCCAGTCTATTCTGACCCCTGTTCTAGAAAAGGGGAACATGGCTTCAGGGATCCATGGGTGGATCTGAGGAGGCTGGCTCCTGCCCCCAGCCCTGTGTTGGTGACATCTCTCCAGACAAGCTCTCCCCTCCGGCTTCACTCCAACAACCCAGAACCTGAACACTCCAGGCCTCAGTTTCCCCATTCGCCCTGATGAACTCACAGATGGGCCTATGCTTTCTCCGGAGGCTGCAGCTTCCAGGGGTCCACTCTGATCACGTGTGGGCTGGTCCCTAGGCATCTGAGAGCTGCACAGAGAACGAGGCTCTGCCATCCTGTGTCTTGTCTCAGCCTCTGTCCCTTTCCCTAAACCCCCTGGCATAGGGCAGTTCAACTCACAGCAACCCTGGAGGACAGACTAGAACTGCTCCATAGGGTTTCTGAGGCTGTAAACCTCCACAGGAGCAGTCAGCCTCCTCTTTCTCCTTGGAGCAGCTCGTGGAGTTTGAACTGGCCACCTTCTAGTTAGCAATCCAACGCTTAGCACAGTTTCCTTTCTCTATCCCTTCGGGGCTGTACTACTGTCAGTGTCTCAGGTGAGCCCACTGGGGCTCTTCACAGCAGCCAGGGAGTTAGAGGCAGGCCCAGGACTGGCCTCGCCAGGCCTCGGGCCACCTCAGCCCAGTGCAGGGCACCCATTGAGCGGAGCTGCAAGTGTCCAGTGTCAGACAGGAGTCTCACAGAACTGGCCCAGCATCCACCCTGACCCAGTCACAGGGCCCTCCTGTCCCCAGCAGCTTGCAGGCTCTGCCCACTGACTGATTGGCCCCTGGTGGTCAGGCTGTGGACTGAGCATTCCTAGTTGATAAGGCAGGGCACCTGTGGCCCCAGGGTGGCAGTGGACAGTGCATGCGTTGTCCCCAGAACCTGGGGAGCTGGGACTGCTTCAGGGCTCACATGGAGTGAGTGAGCGAGTGACTGCCTGCACAGAGCTCCCCCTGTCACACAGACCGCGTTACCAGTCTGATCCAACCTTGGCCCTTTACATGCATGCATCAGCTGGGGTGGCCGGAGCATGGGGTGCCAAGTCAGCGTGCTCCCCAGAGCTCCGGAAACAGAGCATGGACCCCAAATCTAGGATGGTCCCCTACGCCTTGGCGGTCCCAGGACTCACTTACTGAGCACACATATACTGCAGACACGCAGTCAGGCATCCGAGAAACCAGTGACCGCCCACAGCAGTCATCTCTGTTCCCCTCAGCACCCTCTGCCCCAAGGCCCAGAGTGGCCCCACCAGGTGACACCCGCACTGTCCCTGAGCAGGGCAGCTGCCTGCACTCTTGCTCCTGCACCCCAGCCCCCAGATTCCGTGGGCTTATTTGCAGGTGAGGTCCCGAAGCCCTTAGTGCCGGCCGAGGTACGGATGGCTTTGCACTCAGTGAACTACGAGACTGCAGGCACGGGGCCTGGCATCCCTCTCTCCTGCTCCAGCACTAGCCACCTGGGGCCGTGACCTTGGCCAGGTACACTGAGAACCCGTGTGCCTGGGGCCAGGTCTGCTGAGGCCACGGTCCTACAAAGCCCGGCGCCCGAGAGGCCTGGGAAAGCTTGGCCATATTCGCAAGTGAAATCAAGCCGGGCGGCTGGCAGTCAGTGCCTACTCTGAGAGCCAGATGAGCACCAGGGACGCTGCAGGCACTCACAGCTGGGCACCTTGCACCGGTCACACCCCCTCTTCCCTCCTCACGGGGTCGTGGGGGGGTCCCCTAACCCCACCAGTCAGGGCCAAAGTGGGCGGAACAAGCTGCTCCAGGGTCAGCATGGCTGGGGTGTGCAGCAGGGCTCACAGACTGAAACCCGACTCTGCGCTGGGCTGAGAACAGAGCGGCATTGTGCGCGGCCCGGGAAGTCTGACAAGCCCGGCTGCTGTTCTTCACAGACAAGTGATGGAGCACCAGCAGCAGCAGCGTCAGGAGTCTCTGGAGAGACGGGCCTCTGCCCCAGGTGAGCGCCCCCAGCCCCGGCCCTGCCCCCACTGCCCCTGCCCTCCCCTCACCCACCAACATTCCTGCCCAGTGCACGTGCTGTGCTAGGGACTCAGATGGACAAGACAGACCACTCGCCCTGCCCCCAAGGAGCTCAGTGTCCTGTGAAGAAGACAGGGAACTGACACCCGCCCTGTCACAAGAGTACACTCTGTGATGGAGCCACGTGCAGGGCACCCAAGGCCCGTGAGAGGGTGGACTTCACAGAGGGCTTGGCCAGGGCTCCTTCTCAGCACTGGGGGAGCACAGCCCGGGTCAGCGGGAAGAGGGCTCGGGAAACAACAGGCCCTGGGTACCGCGCATTGTAACAGACCTGGGGCCACCTCCCACCCTCTCGCCTAATCCTCTCACGCACCTGTGAAATGAACAGGTAACTTATCCTACGTCACGGAGAAGGAAGCTGAGCCCCAGCGGGTCCAGGTGCCTAGCGTGAGAATGCTCACCTCGGCACACCTGCCCCACCGTGCCCCTCGGCCATCACTGCCAGCTCCTGCGGTGCCTCACACCCCTGCTGACTGCCCTCCACCTGTGCTGCCCAGGCTCCTCTGCTCCCCCCACACGTGCTCGGCCCACCCCAGGAAGCCCTCTAGGGACCTCTGGCCAGGGGAGCCAGGTGGCACCCCATGCCAGCTCTCGTCAGCACTTGTCACCGTCACCTTGTTGCAGCCACTGTGGGAGGAGCCCTGGTGGCGCAGCGGTGACATGTTGGACTGCTCACCTCAAGGTCAGAGGTTCAAACCCACCAGCCGCTCCAAGGGAGCAAGACAAGGCTTTCAGCCTGGAAACCCACGGTGGCCGTTGCACCCTGTCCTGTGGGGTTGCTGTGCATGGCATCGACTTGATGGCAGCAGTAGCCAGTGCCTGGTCCCTGATGGGCAGGTGGACAGTGGACATGTCCCCTTTGTGGTCCCAGTGCCTGGCCACA